TGGTCATTGGTCGATGCCCGTCTTTGAAGGTCCACGTCATGTTGTCTCTTAATACCCAATGTCTATTTCAAGTAACAATTAGGGACAACATCCCAACATACTCGTCAAATCCAACTTCTATGTCTATAGATCAATTGCATTCTAACCATAGATATATATATATATATATATATATATATATATATATCAAATTTAATAAAAGATCATACTCTTTCTGTAACTTCGTTACATATTAACGAATTACTTGAAAAACAGAACTATACGAATCTTTTACTTAAAATTGTTGGTGAACAACTTTTTTCGGTAGAAGATAATATTTCTATAATTCTTCAAAAAATTTCTAAACTTGAGGAAACTCAGAAAAAGATTGATATTCCCTCTACTTCTGAGAAAGTTATTTTAACTTCCAATACTATTCAGCCTCCTCCTGAGATAACATTAAATGTTAAAACACATGGTTATAACTATGCTGTCGGTACAGAAGTTATCTGTATATGTTATAGAATTTATTTTAAACCTCTATTTACTCTTAACCCTATATATATATATATATATATATATATCTATTTAGATATATTATGTTTTACACAAATTCCATAAAGTAGTAAAATCCCATTTTATTAACAAAATCCCAAATATAAAAACATTATAGTATTGAGTTCCAAATCCATCAAAACTTTTAAATAATCATTTCCCAGTTGTTTTTAAACCATTATCCATACTCATTTTGTCAAGATCTACAATTTCTCCAAAATGTTCAACTTTGACTTAGATGGTCCAAAATTAACTAAATGTCAGATATTTATAATATAAACTTGAAGGAAGTAAATGACATTATTTTAACATGTATATAGTTTTATAAAAACGAAGAATGAACTTAAAATACTAGGTTTTGGTGAAATCAAGGAACTTGGATTCTTGGTTCCACAATTGCAGCTTCCATTTATGGACTCCTTAAATGCACCAAGCCCTTCAGGAAACTCCTTAGATGAATCCTAAATTGGAATTTGATGAAGGGAGAGGAAGTACTGAGAGCAAAATTAGGAGGAATGAGGTAAGCCTGGAAATTGGCTTAAGCAAACAAAAGCTTGGGCTTCCTTTGGGGCGGCTTAATGCGCTTGAAGGTCGCCTGGCCCCCAAGTATCGCACACATTCACCCGAGCGGCTTTAAGCCGGTGCACGCTAAGGCGCCAAACACTCTTGAACGACTTATGCCCGTGCGCCCCAAGGCGCCTCGAATGTGGCCTCGACCACTGCTTGGATTTTCTTGAGTTGCACACGAAGGGTAAGCAAACAGAAGGTTAGACGATGTTTCCCACGGTAAGTCGTCCGAGTCACTAGAAACTTGAATTTTGCCCAGTATTGATACAAAAACCACCAAACAACTTAGGGTCTTTCTTAGTGACGTTAAACTAATCATTTCTAGACAAAACAAACGAAATCTAATAATTCCCACTCGGTTCAACTTGTAAACAAAAATGTCAATGACGGGTGTTACAATATAATTATTAAATAATACTTTAAATAAATAATTCTATAAATAAATAAATAAGGACAAAAAAGTAATTTACTTATATAAAAGTTATTTATTTAATTTATTTAAAATTCTACTTTTACCATATTAATAATTTAAATATAATATAATTTTTTATTTAAAAATTTTGTTTTTTGTTTAAATTTATTTTCTATTTAAGGATTTAAGATAATATTTAAAAAAGTACAATTGTCGTCAAAATCACATGTGATTCATAATTAATTATCTTTTCTTAAAAAAAATCTAATCACATGTGATTTAAAGCGTACATTGAATCAAATTTAACAATGAAAAGAAAAAATAATGAAAACATAATCACATGTGATGTATAACAGAACACATTTAGTATGTATAAGATCTCATGTGTATTAAAACGTAATACATTTTCTTACGGATCTTACATGTAATGGTGTAGATAACTTATATTCCTTTTCTAATATCACAAATGATAATGATATTTTAACCAAAATAGCGATTCTTTTTTTTGGGGGGGGGGGCATTAATTGTGGATAAATCGATTAATATGATGATGATATCAATATCACATATGATCTTTGACGAAAAATTTTTAAATTTTTTTTAATTAGTACAATATTTAAAAAAAATTACAGATTTCGTCAAAATCAAACGTGATTCACAATTAACTAAATTTTTTTAAACGTGAAAAAATAATGATTTAAATTAAACGTTGAAAATTAGTAATAATGAAAACATAATCACATGTCTTATATAGCATAAAACACATTTAATATGTGTAAGATCTATGTATTTCAAAGAGTAATTTATATTTTACAAATATCGCATGTAATGTTGTAGATGGGTTACATTTATTTTTAAATCAAATTTATTATAATCAATATCACATATGATATTTTAATAAAAATTAATAATTTTTTTTAGAAAAAAAATCGATTAATTATAAATATCACATGTGTTTTTGACGAGAATTATTAAAAAAATCTTAAATACATTATTTTAATAAAAATAAGAATAAAAGCTAAAAATTACGTTTATTTCAAATGTGATACAAAATAAAAATAATTATATAATTGATGTGGGGAGTTTGTTTCTTTAGGAAATTTTAATGAATTTTTTGACCACTTTACCTTTATGACGTCATTTCATTTAATGACCGTCATTAATTTTTATTTATTTAACAAAAATAGATATAAATGATCTTAACCATTCATCAACTAAATCTAGAATTTAAAGTGGTTTGTACAAATGAGATGGTGTGTAAACCAACTCTATAATATATATATATATATATATATATATATATATATATATATATAGGGATGTTATTCTACACCCTTTGCCATTCCTACACCCTATACAACC